GCCAAACAACAATGATGGCTGCAACCAAAAAAAAAAAATAGCCAGGTGTTGTGGCAGGGGGCTGTGGTCCCAGCTACTTGGGAGGCTGAGGCAGGAGACTCGCTTGAGCCCAGGAGTTGGAGGTTGCTGTGAGCTGTGGTGCCACGGCACAATGCCCAGGGGGATAGCTTGAGGCTCTGTCTCAAAAAAAAAAAAAAAAACAAAGTCCTAGGCAAGTTACATGAACTTCTCAAGCCCTTTTCTGTCTGTCAAATGGTAAAATAATAATAATGATAATATCTCTCAGTGTAGTTGGACAATTATATGAGACAACCTTCTGCTTCCTTATAATCTGTACATCTCTGTTAAAGTACAGAGTACTCACTATTATCTGCTGAGACACACAGGCAGAGTTATTCTTAGTAAAGTTCTCACTTCCTAGGGTCTAAAAAAGTTTGGGATAAGGCTAATAATTGCAAAATCCTATCAAGAGAATATTAGAGGGGAAGGGACAGTGGAGAGAGAAGCTCATTCATCTTTTCATTTCTGGGAACTGAACATAAAGGAAAACATGTAAGTGTGTTAATGCTTCCAACCCCTGTGACTTTGAGTAGATCCAAGAAAAATGTAAACATACTATGTGATATAACAATGATAGCTTAGATTTATACAGTTCTTATCTTCCCAACACTTCAAAGTACTTTTGTATATATTATCTCCTTTATCTTCTCAATATATATGTGAAATAGTAAAGACAGGTATGATTTTACCTATGTTGCAGATGGGAAAAAGCAGCATAGAGAAGTTTTTGCTCTTAGTAGTAACACAGATAAAGCTTTTTAAATCCTAGTCTGGAGCACTCCTTGATAAGCTTTGGTACTGTGCTTACATATACATATATATGTGTGTGTGTCTGATTATCATTTTCCTTCATAATTTGTTCCTCATCCTGTTGCTATAATATTGGTAAATTATAGAGCCATATTTCCAGTTCAAACTAGAAACCTAGGGAGCGTCTTTGATTTCTCCCTTTTCCTTTCAATCCCTCTCTGTCAACCATCCCCCTAGCTTTTCTCAAAATATTATTTCATTTTCTTCCCAATGCCTGCAGGCTCTGTTTGCACCAACTAAACATGTTGTTTGAAGGCCTATAGGCCCTGCTAACCAACCTTTCTGCTTCCACTCTTGGCCCCATAATTTTGCCCTGAATATAGTGACATTCCAAGTAAGCCAACAAAAAATGCATAATATACTGTGTTACTCCTGTAAAAGAAAATAAAATCCACAGGACTACTCCCTCCCCCAACTCCTTGTGCAAAAGAAAGATAAAGGCCTTAGGCACCTATAAAGGGCTGGCCCCACCAGTAAGGAATCCCCTCACTGGCCTTTCATAAGCAAGGCTTTGAACATTATAACTTTAGGTCTGTAGGCTACATCTGTCTCCTAAAACTAATGTCTATTCTGTTCCACGCTAATAATGAATTACAAGTTTATCTTTGCAGGTACAGAACACAGATAAGGTGGAATCAGAAGTCCTTCCACTTACCCAGGGCTGTCTATATAATTGATGCTTTCTTCACTCCCTTTTTCTCTTCTAACTTTTGCCTTATCTTATGTAAATAGTAGGTTTTCCAGGGCCTCTTAAGAATGTAACCATTGGCTCGGCGCCTGTGGCTCAACCAGCTAGGGCGCCAGCCACGTACACCTAAGGTGGCGGGTTCGAATCCCCAGCCCGGACCCGCCAAACAACAATGATGGCTGCAACCAAAAAATAGCC